AATCAATTAACAAACGGAGACTTAACACTATTATCAGACTAAGATAGCCTAGCTTATAGTGCCATAAAATTTTCATAGAGTGGAGGTAAGTTTTTCAAGTTATAACATTGTGACATTAGTAGAGTGAGATTGTGTCCTTGAAACTGAAGGTTGTTTCCTGTTTATTTAATTGTATATAAACAAAGTTTTCATTAATCAGTTATTACTTATAGCTTCTCTAAGCAACTTAATTAAACTATTCTTCATTTAGAATTAATGAACTTGAAATAAAACTTTCATTTCTAAAGATGTCCACATTTCATACCCAACATTTTGAGCTGTAAATTTAGTTCGATTCAATTTGCAATTGGTTACAATAAATTAATTTTTACTTGAATTACACTACAAAATTTTTAAGTAATCACTAGTTTAAATAAATAGTGATAATTTATTCTTTGAGTTTTGTGTGAATCAAATGTCTTAGAAAATATAGACACTTGATAAAATTAGGTGCTTCAAATGTCGTAACAGTACAGGTAACACAATAATCAATACTTATGACATAAACGTGGCCTTTAAGCTTCTAATCTCAAAGCATACGAATTAACAAACATGCATCAGCATATTCTTTAAGTCTAAGTTTCAGTACAAAAAGCACTTTATGCTGAAACTCCAAACACTAGTATAATTTATCTTTTAAATCTGTAGTATTAATATAGGTAAAGCATTATATAAGATTAGTGATATTATAACGATCTTTTAGTGTCATACTCTAATATGTTTGATTCATATCTATAATGGTTTTATTTCAGAATAGCCAATTACATTTGATTTATCCTTATATCACTGTTTAAAGGCTTCTTAAACTCACTCATTTCCTGAGGTTCACAAATTACTTCCAAGAATGCTGATGGCACTATGCCTTTTTGATTCCCAATCCTTCCTTCATACCAGTTCTGATCCACTTTTCCAGTTAGAACTACAGTTTCTCCCTACAAAGATATCAATTACTCCTCTTGAAAGTCTTTATCCTAAGGAATCATTCCTAGTAATTTACCATGTGAAGTTCCTACTTCTGGAATCAAGTTCAACTAAAAAATGCTTAAAGATATGATAAGTGGTGTTTTGTACCTTATACAGATCAAAGATAAAAAATTCTAAGTTCATTGATGAATTAATCATTACTTTTCAATTTTTAGTTAAAAAATATCTCTGTTATTACACATATCAAAGCCAGTGTGTTACAGTCTTAAAGCGTTTGTTTACAGAAACCATATAATTCCTGTATATAAAAACATAGCAGGTTAAATTGATTGAAAATATATTCTAAAAGATACTCAGTACTGACATACAAGATAATTCAACTTTACAGAAGAAGACACTTGAAACAATCATCAATGTATGATAAACAAAAAATCCAAGATGGAAGTTTATATGAAGAAACTTAATTGAAAAACAACAACAACAACAACAACTAAGTAATGCTACATCTACACTAAGTTAAACTTTAAATAAATGTATTTAACTAAATACCTTTAATACTGAAAGCTCAACTGAGGTTTGAGCATTAAAGTTGAACTTTGCTTTTGCTTCTCCTTCAATAGTTTTCTGTTGTTGAAAGTGCACATATTCTGGTTGGATTATCTGAGCAATAAATAAATATAGAAAACATATAAAACTAAACAACTGCCTGAATTAAAACATTAGATCTAGAATTGTACCAATTAGAACTATCTATCATAAGAATAATTCTACAAAATTATTTCATGAACTAGTTATAATAAAAAATAATAATGAACCTCTCTGTTAAAGTATTAATCCTCAGAGACATTATTGACTAAACTTGTCTCATAAATCCTAGTCTTTTTTACAACAGTTTTAACTAGTAAAAGAAATTGTTCTAGTTGTATTATGTCAACAATATACCAAAAAATAAGAGAGAATGCATAAGGCAAATTATTTATTCAGTAGGTATCCAACAGATATTTATGTAACCTTCTCTCAGGACAATAACTGCTTCACAATGTCAAATATTTACAAACATATTTGATTTTTTATGGCAGTTATATAGATTCTTTCTCTCAGTTATAATTTATTTTCTATTTTCACACTGATTCAAAAAAAATAAAAAATAGAAGCTCTTAAACAGAACAATTCTGGGTTTCTGAGGATCATTTTAGTTACAATTGTTAGTCAGCATCTACAGTTCAGTTATATTTTTATTTGGAGAAAAACTTTCAATTAAAACCTAATTGGTAATGCAGTACTTCTCTGAATGCACAGTAGCTTTATACAGTGTGAATATCAAGAATGATTAAAATCTAAAAGAATCCCATACACACTATTGATGTTTTCAAGGAATTAAAATCAGGAATTTTAAAACGAAATGTAAATCCATTTATTCAAAAGATATACTATTATGGAAAATATCTAATTGTTTAATACAAATGTTGAGATTAAATGGTTATTACCAAGACAAGAAATTATAGGAGGTTGTGCACAAAGGTATGTTATATTGTACTACACAATGAGAAATGCTTTCAGTAAGCAGAGCAAGGTACAGAGTTTATACATTTCACATTATTAGATAAAATATTTTCAGGGTAAAAACAAATTATAGAGAAGATAACTAAAGAGTGTTTTGCAGCATCTCACCTCCACATAATTTATAGGAAAAATTCCAATCACTCCATGATGTTCACCCAGATACCAGTTCTTGTCAATTTTCTTATTTACATATACAATATCATCTTTGTTTAAGGAAAGTTCTCTGTGAAGAACACAGAATATCATATCAAACGTAATTTTAATATGCATACTCGATGATATTGATATGATTAATGAATTATGACAAAAGATACTTATTGCATCATAAATATGAAACTAAATAAACAGTAGATATATATTAATTTGAACAGGAGATATTAAACAGTTCAACATCAAATATATAAATTTAGCTTTAAAACTAATGAATAACCTTATTATACTGTGGCATACATGTGTGTATATATATATACACACACACACACACACAAAGATAGATATCTTATGTAAAGCCAGTCTTTCTAAAGGTTTATATTTTTTGGATATTCACATAAAGTTACTCAAGTTACCCTAGTACTAACTGACTGATTAGAGGAAAGGCAGCTAGTCAACAGAACTCACTACCAGCTCTTGGGCTACTTTTGTCTCACCAAATAATGGGATTTCACTGTCACCCTTACAATGCACTCATGCTCCAAAGTACAGAGCATGATTTTTATTGTAGTAACGGAATACGAACAATGGACCCACAGATCCATAGTCCAACACATTAACCATTAGGCCATCTTTCTAAAGAAACAAGGTAGTTACTAATTTTGTACAGCTAGTGAAAAAAAACGAAAACTGTCATCAGAAAGATTAACAATAAGGACATAAGAAGTTTTTAAAAGCTAAAAACGACTGTGTTATTTAAAAGCATAATAACTGTTCTCCGCTATTCATCATCTCATACTTAGTTATCACTGTAATAGTCAGTAATCCTAGAAGGATGCAAGAAACGTCACCAGTGTATCATAAAACATTTCAATTCACAGTCCAAACGAATATATATTTTTTTCAGTTTTGCTTCTGATTATATGCAGTTTGTCCCTTAAACAGTTACTAATTCAGTCTATCTGGCTTACCTCCTGTAGATCTAGGTTACAGGTATACAGTAGAATTGTATAAAAAAAAGGAAAAGTGATTTTCACCTTTGATGTCTCTTTGAAAATAAACTCAAGCTATTCCATTATTTAAAATTTAACAAATTGGTTTATAAGCAATCAATAAAATGGCTGATAGAAATTTTTATTTGGTATATTAACTTTAAATCTCAATTAAATACTATAATTGTGGTACAAAATGTTATTACTAGGTCATCTAGTTTCATGATCTATTTCTCTCTGTTAATTACTTGTCTACTAATTAAAGATAATGTTCATGAAAATAATGAGCAATTTTATACAATTATATATCCTCTCAGCTGGGACCAACTAAATATATTCTTTTTAAGGTTATTTAAGAGTGTCTTTCCATTACAAACCTGTGTTATTTTACATATACTATATACTTATATATTATTTACAGAAATTAGTGATTCAAAAGGAAAATAAACAAGATATAGAAAGTTTACCTTGGTTTTTGAGCTGTGAAATTATATAGTACTCGTGCCATACTACGAGTTTCAGAAGTCTTAGAAGGTGGAGTAAATGAAGCATCAAATAGATTGTCATATCTATCTAAGGGTATTGGAGACTTCTGTGATGACCTGAAATAATCATTAAAGCAAAAGGACTATAAAGTGTAAGGTGAGTTGTGAAAGTCTACATGTAAAAATAGCCAAAGAAATATTTGAAGTATTTTCTAGAAAGCTTAATTAATCACACAGATAATTTTTCTAAACAGTTCTTTATTTTGATTGAAAAAGGAAAGTTAATGACTTCAGTTATCCCACTTACAATACTACTATATATAGGAGAAAACATATTTTTAGCATATTTTGGTAAAGCTTGTAGAGTAGCTAGAAAAAAATTAAAACGAAAAAGATAAATCCGTTTCACTGGGATAAGGTAAAAAAAAATCACTATATCAACATTTCTAACATGTTGAAATCTTGTATCAGTTTTTGTTCTTAAAATCTGTGGCAGTTTTTTTCCATTGAAATACTAATTTTTTAATAAAAGTAGAATTGAATTTCATAAGCAGGTAAAAAAAACAACCTTAGTATTATTTTTTAAGCATACCAACAGAAAACTACTAAACAAAATTTTCATTCCAAAACATACGTGAAATTGTCATTATGCTTTCTCATCTCCAACTCTGCTACATATTTTGGGTGCCTTTCCCTTTCCTGATGCTTTTTCAACTAAAGATTTAAAAAAATCTATTGAAATACCAAGCATACAAAAAAGTAGAAAAATAAATGTAATAAAAATAACTATTTAACAAAATCTGTCTTTCAATAAAAAAAGAAAATAATTATATAATTCCATATTAAGTTGTTCCATTTGTATGTATCATGATTTTATAATTTTAAAAACATTCACTTGAGTAAAATTTTTCTAAAAACATTCCACTTCTGAAATGATAAATATTATTTTATACAAATAAAATATGTGTGTGAATAACAAAAAAAATACTGCTAGAGGGAACAATTTATTTAATAAATTCCATATTAAGAATATTTCAAATAAGCTTAAAACACAACAACAGATGATTGTAGATAAAGTGAAGAGTGAACAAGAAAACATACATAAACATTTATCTGCTACATGGAATGAATGATAATATTTGGCATAATTCCGTCATGTACAACTAAAAAAGTAGCTTTTTGAACAAGAGAAAATGTTAGAATAGTAGCATGTTGCTTTAATATTGTTGCTTAATGAATGCATGCTACCATGTGAGATGAAAACAGTTGCTCATTATTCATTATAGATTAGAGTTCCAAACCTTTAAGATGAAACTATCTGTGAAAGTTAATTACCTCATTTTCTTCAAAAGAAGTCTTGGCCAGTTTGTAAGATTGTCTCTCTGAATCGTTTTGAAATTTGTGCGGAGAAACTGTTAAAATAATGACATGAAGCTTAAACTGTGTCTAAATAAAACATTAGTAATTAAATCTTAATTAAAACTATGCATGTTAAGAAAGTACAAAGGTAAGTATCTGTAGCAAAAGAAAACTTCAGGTATAACACTAAATAACATTATCATTCTAGAAATATTACAGATATTTCTTAACTGACCAAACAGACAATTATCTCACATGTACATATGTGTGTAAATTATTTTAAACAATGAAAAGCTTTCTGTGTACACATACTTTCTCTGCTCACATCAACTGCCTAAACTAACACATCTGCATGATTTATTACACCATAAGGTATTTCCTATAAAGTCTTATACCTTTTTTTAAGGAGGCTACTGATCTATATTAAACCTAAATTAGACAGAATTAGGAGCTTAAGTAGCTATACACAAACATTACTATATTATTTCAGCACAATAATGTACTGAATCGTTGGAATTTGGAGTGTAAATTGCCTGCAATTTTATTTCTTTTAATAGTAGTATTTAATAACCTAAACTTCTTAAATTTAATTATGTTGTTCATATACAAAATTGTGACTATTGTAGGGACTAGAATGACAAATTTAGGAGACAACTTTTACCTATAATCCCCATTGGCCTAAATTTAGTAACCTATTTGTCTGTTTGTTTTTGGAATTTTGTGCAAAGCTACACGAGGGCTATCTGTGCTAGCCATCCCTAATGTAGCAGTGAAAGACTAGAGGGAAGTCAGCTAGTCATCACCACTCACCAACAACTCTTGGGCTACTATCAACAAATAGTGGGATTGACCATCACATTAAAATGCTCCCATAGCTGAAAAGGCAAGCATATTTGGAGGGACGGGGATTCGAACCCGTGATCTGCAGATTGCAAGTCGAGTGCCCTAACCACTTGGCCATGCCAGACCACCTATTTGTCATTCTTCTCTTTTTCTAAATCATTGGTCTTATGTTTCATCAGGAATTAGTACCCTCTCTCGAATGGTTTCAATGTGTGAATAGTAGTTCAGGTATGAAATTCTGTGTTCTTAATCACCTATACCTGCTCCTAATTTTTATGTTGGTTCTAGTTTAAGTTTACATCTCAGACTTGCAAATAACACATAATAAAATTGGAGCAATTACCTTTGTGTCTGTTCATGAGAAATACCTCTTGTTGAGGTTCACTGTGTCTGTTCATCAGAAATATCTCTTGTTGAGGCTCTCTGTGTCTGTTTCTTTGATGTCTGGAATCTAAAGAAGAACGTCTTCCCATTTTTCTTTCCACTGTAGAGTCACTTTCATAGCCATCTATGTAAAAGCTACAAAACTATACATTTAACTTTTTTTTCTTCTTTACAGAGTAATGAATTTTTTTTCCTGCTAGTCTTAATCCATTTTATTTATGATGTAGTACAGATAGATATATTTTTGGGCCAGTTTTAAGATGCAACATCATCTCCATAATATGCCAATTTTTTAAGAAAAAGTCATAATTTATACATACATCTGTTAAAGATCGATTAAAAAACAGGAAAAACTTTCTGAAAATGCTATTACTCTATTCAGCAATGAAAAAATAACTTTGATAACAAAAGAAGAATTTAACCGCATAAAAAACATTGATTTTCACTGATCAGATATTTTTAGTCACTCAGAATTAAATTTCACTAAATAACATATAAAAAACACCCTGATTTCTACCATTTTCGTAAAACTGCTATATACAAACATGAATCATTTCAACTCCTCTATAAAATCTAATTTATAGCAAAAATGCATTTTAGGTAAAGTATATCTTCCAGTATATACATATGTGTATATATATATATATATATATATATATATATACAATGCATTTTAATGTACCTAGTATACTCCTTTATACATTTCTTCATTAAAATTGGCCAGCGCTAAGGGTTTCCTTGCCTTCCAGTTTCATGTATTGTACTTGGTAATAACAAACACTCTAGCTCAAATGAACTAGCAAATACTACACTATGATCATTAGAGCACTGCATTTTGACACTACAGCTCAAAGTTACAGTTGTCAGCTCATCAAAGAGAAGTTTGGTGTCTTAATTAGCTAATGAAATCTTTTAGAGATTCTAACAATTCAGCATTTGTATAGTTTGTTTTTGAAGTTAAGCACCAAGCTACACAATGGGCTATCTGTGCTCTACCCACCTCGGGTATCAAAACCAGGTTTCTAGCGTTGTAAGTCCACAGACATACCGCTTTGCCACTGGGGGGCCATTTGTATAGTAGTAAGGGCAGTAAACTTTCATTTTACAGCCATTTTATCCAACAAACAAACTACAACCTTCTTGCATTGTTTTCATAGTTAAGTTAAACAGGGCTGTACACATTCTAATGCCATAAAAATACTACTAACATTTAATTAAATAGTTCTTCATAGTTATATATACAAAAACTTTTTTAAACACTTATTAACACAATATATTTTTCAGTAATATAATTTCAACTGCACCCAATTTGAACAAAGGTAAAATGGGCAGCAACTGTCTAGTTCAGAGTGACATTTTTATAGAAGGTCTTAGAGAATTAATCTACAACAGTTGCTCAAGTACAAAAGATGACATTGCATCTTTATTTCTTCCTAAATCATCTATAAAAGGGTGCACCCATTTTGTCAGAAATGTTTTAAGAAATCTCCATCACACTGTCACATTTCCAAACTACATATATCGAACAAATGCAATGTAAGTTTGCGTTATTTCCTTTCTACAGTTATTTGAAAACTTTCAATGTAAAAACAAAATGGACATTATATGGAAACCAAAGATACAAGTTCCGTTCTTACATATAAAAAATGTACACAGGTTACATTACGTAAGGATCAAGCCTTATTCAGTTGTCTGTTTGGATTTTTACTATTTATTCAATTGAATACATAATTTGTCTTTATTTGAATAGCTGAATGAATAATACAAGACTTTCAGTATTTGTATATAAAAATTTATTAAAGGGTTGATGTTGTATTTTGTTGCTTTATTTATAAGTGGTATCTATCTACACTCTCATACTAAACTTAAACTCACTTACTTAAGTGGTGTAGGCTGGTCCTGAGGAGACAAAGACTGGCTGGCAAGCTAGAAAAAAATACATAAAAAAAAACGTAGTGAAACATTGATCGACACTACAAATAGAAGTACTAATGATTAACAAATTTGGTTTTCCCTTGAACAATACATATTTAATACATTATGTATTCAGGAGGTAATTGATGAAATTGTTCTAAATGTTCTGTAAATTCATTAACTTTAATTTTGTCTTGGTTCTGTTATTCAGTAAAAATAGAAATTAGTTTATATTGTATATTAAATGCAACAAAATGGCTTATTATCAAACAATGGAAAAGAAATGCAGGAATGTTGTATTAATCAGACAGAACGGATGTCAAGAAGACAGTTAAATTAAATATAAATTTGACTTACAAAAGCCACTTAAGTCTGATTTTCATCTTTTTTAAATAACAGAATTAGATTAGACAATTTCATAATATACCAGTTTAATTATTTCTGTAATCATTCATCAAATTATCAACACATATGGAATTGTGTGTTAATCTATAGCATTTAAGGTGTACATATATTTTGGATATAGATAGATAATATGGTATATAACTGTGATTATGACTCCATAAGCTAAGTGCTAAAATTAATTTTATATTCCATTCTAACCTGATGTATCTAATATGTAGTTTCCTGACCTAGGTATTTATTTATCTTGCTCGATCTTTATATTTCACTGGTACCTGTGTGTACAGTATATCTGTGCTTGTTTTAATGGTTGAAACCCTAACAACTGTTCTTTCCTGTTACCTGTATTGCATATATAAAAAAAAGTGTATTTACCTTGATCGTTCCACTCAATCTGTTAGTTATGTTGTAAAACTTCACGTATGCATGCATTCTCCCTTAACATGATAATGATACAGAAAATAGGTGGTACATGAAAAGTATCTGTTCATTCCTTTGATCATTTATAGTTGCAAAAACTATTGAATATTGAATTTGTAGTAACACTCACTACTTGCCTTCTCTGAAGTAACAAGCAGTATATAAGAACCAAGTAAACCAGGATCAATTCAAACATTTGTATGTGATGTTATGAATCACCACATAACAAAGAATAAATTATATATGTATATCTTTTTTTTTTAAATCAACACAAACAAATAAATGAAATGTAAATCTGGAGCTTGTGTTCTAATTTTCAGTTATTAAACACAAAGTTTGGCCTCTCTAAGCCCCAAACCAAACTGCCTATCTCCAAAACCAGGAATAAAGTGACTGTTCCAGTAGCAGGAAACAATACACTGTCTTTTTTAGCTAACTGTTGAAAAATATTATGTGTCCTGCACCATCCATAATTTTGTCTTTGTGTATTTTCTAAATATTGCAAAGTTCTTGATCCAGAGTTATCAAGAATTGCCTCAACAATAACAATAAAATTTCTTTCTTTTAGATGAAAGTTAAATTATAATGTAATTAAATGCTAGGGTAAAAAGAAAATTAACTCTATGTGCCTAAGGCATTGGTAAAACTAATGAGTGCAACAGGTCTTGAACTCATTAATTCTTCAAGATAAATTTAAAAATTCAAGTACATATATAATAAATCAAATATATGTTTATGTCCTGTAAATTTAGTTTGAAAAAACTATTTCTAGCTTCTAATTCCTGATAATTATTCACACAAAAGGAGAGCTACAAACTTTATTCCACTATCTTACCAAGTTAGTTTCCTTCTCAGACAAAAATGCATTCCCAGGTGAGTACCCTCTTATATTTCTTGGCTGGTTCTTGTACACTTCTGATGAGGTTTTAGGTGAAGGAGATGGCTTAGGGTTAGATCTTGAAGTACAAAAAAAAGATAACCACGGTTATGTTATAAATTTATTGGATTAGATAAACTGTATATCACTTATGTGTAAGAGTTCAAAGCAATTGTTGTGTGCCCAACTTAAAAGTTAATTGTCTAGCTTGTGTGTTCAAAAAGAATCCTACATAAATAAATTGAAACAGTTTCATACTGAATTGTCTAAGCTAAAAAAAAAAAATAGCAGCTTAATTTTCTTTTAATATTAAAAGCTCAGCAAAGAAAAATACAAAACATGTTTTTACTTTAAATGATCAGGAATCTATATAACCAAACAATAAAAGATAAACTCTGCCAATAAAGTTAGCCAGCACTGCAACTAAGATTCCTTACTCTCAGTGTAACTTAGCTACAGAATATGCACATGATAGTTAAAATCCCCATCCTATCCACGTTAGAACAATGACGCAAGAAGGTGTATCATTAGAAATTACAATCTGATATACCAATGAGGAAAAAAATACTACTTTATGTGCCCAGATTAGAGTGCAAATATGTTATTTCGTATCTGGCAACTGAATGTAGGTGGTGTTGGGCAATTAAAAATAAATTAAAGTAAAATTAAAATTTTCAAGATTCAAGAAAAAGGGCTCAGATTGAATACAGCAATATTCTCATTCTTACTACTGTTGCATCGTAACAACAATCTTCCTTACTCTCTCAACAATTACTTCATCTAATCTATATGCTGCCTTAGATTTGTAAACACTTCAATATCACTATGAAGTCATCTATAATTACAATTCTCAGTGTTAACATTTTATTTATTTCTAACTTTCATAATAAACAAAGCTTAGAAAACTTTTCAAACATATTTATTTTACACCTAAAACTTCCTGAACATGGATATGAACTTCTTGTTTTGGTTACTATTTAAAGTTATATATGCTCTTAGTCATTTTACCTGATAACAGATTTCAACTCACAAAGTACATGTCTGTTTTTAAAACTGCTATTACCACAAGATTGTATGTGTGTTAAAGCAGCCTGAAAAGGATACTTGGTTCTGACAAGGTATTTTTTTCAAACTTCACAAAACATCAAGGTTTATTACGTATCTCAATTTATAGAAGAATTAGAATACTAGAGGTATGTTTGTATCATCACATAAATAGTACCTTTTAGGTTGTTCATTTAAAAAGGGACAAACTTACTGATGGATTCCCCGTGGAAGGGTATGTGAACGTGATTCTTGGTTGATCTCCATAGCTGGGCGACGTCGATTATCAATGGTGGTGTACTTGGATTGGTGAGCACGATCATCTAAATTGATTTGAGGACATAAGAATCATACATTTTCTTGGGCTGAATCAGTAACAGTTTACTTTCCTTACATAGTTTAATCTCCTGATTTCATTAGACAGTAATAATTTATTGTTTCTTGTGTTAAACATTAATACTTTCTATTTCTAGTGTTAAATAGTCGACTGTTTTATATTAAGAAATATTAGTTTTCTACCTTCAATTAAAGGTTATCAGTCCTGTGTTAAATATCAATGATAAATTGTATTAAGTAATAACAGTTTGTCCTTTCATGTTAAAGTAACACTTTAACAAATTAAACTAAGGAGAGATCATATATATATATTTCCCATTTCCTCAGAAAGTATAAGTTGAAAAACTTTCAAGTAGATGTTTAAATTGTATTCTTATTTAATAAAATAAAATGATTTTACTAGTTTTGTATTCTTACACATAAAATAAAATGGTTCATGGGAAGAGTTAATTGCACTTCGTAAGATTGTTGTTTCAGATCCCCTGAACTTTTTTACCATTCTTAAAGTACCCCGTAAGCTCATGAACTTCTTTACCATCTTTGGTGTGCTTGGTGGGCCAATCTTACCATCCTTAATGTGTTCTGATGGTCATAATAACACACTACTGTCCAATATCTCAGTTTCCATCACAATAAACGCTGTGAAGGATGGCAAAAACAATTTCAAACTACATTTAAGAAAAACAGAAGGAAATAGGTTGTACAATGGTTTCATTCTTCATAATTCATAAAAATACTATTGTACACTTAGACATGTAACTTGATACTTTATCCTGACATAGCCATGTCTTTTTAGCATCCTGGCTATACAGTACAGGAATTTCATCTCCCATAATTAACATCAGTATGTTCTCCTGACATACATTAACTGGTTTATTTCTGCTTTATAAATGTGCACTCTGAAATTTAACCTTCCCATTAAAAGAAACACTTGCAGCAACCATAAAGCACAATTAAAAAATTCCTTTACATTCTCTGCACTGTGTTTGAATGTCCTTATCACCTTATGGCTAGAAGAAAATCATGCATTTCTTGTTCAAATCATTAAAGTGCACCCAGACCTCATCAAATGCTGGAAGAAATGTCCATCTTTCATATGCAAGGTATCTTGGGTACAGTGTTCTACAGTTTGTTTTTTTCTCACCAATGTTTCTGGGGAGCAGCTTGAGAACTCATGGTTTGTATTTTCCTTACAAAGGTAAGATCTTTTTGGATTATCTTGAGCACAGTTTATTGGAATATGTGAAACTTGTTATTGGTCACTTTGTGGGTAACAGTTGAATTCCTGGACAACCACCCTGTAAACTGGGCAATGGTAATGGAAGTCATACAATGGAATGCTGTCTAGGTAAGTTTTGCTGCATGAATATCATTCCTTCCTTAAAAAGAACTGTAACATATTTCTTCTGCCATAAACTACCCATGATGGAATTGAACTGTCAAATGATTTAGAATTCTCTGTAAATCAAATATATGTGTGCTAAACCTGTTGCCTATAGTACCATAATCTGTATTTGTGGCACTATATTAGTATACAAATGATTCTTTAAAAATGTGAAAAACTCTCCATAATATATACTAGCATATATAATGTATTAAAATATACCTGATCATGAGCGATCTTACGAAACCCACATGCAAATAAAGTTATTTGTGCTACAGACAATCATTCTACTATTGAACTTTTAGTAAAAAAACAGAAAACTTGTTTTCTCAAAGTGTAAGCTACATACATTAGTTTTATTTGTACAGTATTTGATATAAGCTTTCATTTTACTTTTAACACTGAAAATAAGGTCTTTGCATCAGCACTTGTGAAACTTACTGAAGCAAATATTCACAAAACAGTCAAATCACATATACAGATTGCTGAGAGGACAAAGGAACTTAAAAGTTAAACTAATTTTCCATTATAAGAGTAGAGCACAGCTTTCACTTTATGTGAGTAATTTTAACATGACTATGAATTACTTAAATGCTAGCAAAACAAAAATATATCTGTAGCTACAAAATTCATTATTCCACATGTATTTCATACTTATGAAAGAGCAAAAAAACCTACTCAGATCATGACTGAGAAAATGATGGAAAAGGTTCATAATCATACCAAACAAGGTTATTATATTCATTCAGTTCTACAAAATATGAAAGGCTATTGTGTAATAGTACAATTAAACAAAGATATTTTTTTAAATACTGAAAGGGCTGGCTCTGTCCATACACTGTATTTATTGCACATTAAGTTGTAATGCAAAAAAATCACTACACATGCACAAATGAGAAAATATAACAAAACAAATTACATTTTGAGGACAAATCCACACCCCGAGGGGTCCTCACAAATGAATGCCACATGATTTCTTCAACTATAAAGAAAATATATTTAAGAAAAAGCTGCAACAAGAAAAAGGAATGTAGTTTGTGTGGATGAGCTTTTTCCACTTTACATCTCTGAAAGGAATACTTCAAACAATATTTTCTACAGTCACTATAGCTAGTAACAGCACAGGTTGCCATGGCTTTACAGCTGTCACAAAAATAAACTACAATGATAAAATACTGATGAAGAGAGTGATCTCAAAATGATCTCTTAGCCACATGAGAAAATGTGATGAATCAATTTACCAGAAAAAGATGCTGTCTGTATGGAAATTTTACCAAACAGTTGAAACAAAAGATTTGAAAATAAGACCTCCTAGACATACGAATAAGAAATTATAAGCAAATGTTTGATTAATTATGAAAGTTCAGACTAGAAAAAAAGTTATTCCAATTTTCATCCTACTTGTGAAATCACTGTGCTTGTGGATTACTTCAAAGGTCTTTAAAAATACCACATACTGTTGATGGATTCCAGAAGGCATGCAAAGGAGAGTGGGACTGAGTTGGTTTAAGCATTTTCAAGCATAGTATCATATGTTGGAAAGTTTGATGGCAAACAATCACTCAATCAAGATTATTTAATACACCATAGATTTACTGTATATTATGATAGTAAACAACACATAGGATCACTAATTTGGTAAACCCCAATTAAAATATGCGTAATAAAACTTTATGCTACTTCTACACAGGTCAACCTGTTAAAAGCACTAGGTTTTATTAGTTTTTTGTGCAACAGACCATATGTAATATGGAGAATATGGCATTAGGGTCAAATTATGGTTTTGAAAAACTTAGACGTAGAACCGTTTAATTTTCACTGTTAATTAGAAACAATGAGAACTACTGTTTATCAACTATATTTTGAGTAAACACTAAATACACCTTGGTTACAAATATATATTTTGCTTTAAAGTTTAAATAACTTTAATTCATATGCCACTTTGGAATTCATAATGACTTTAAATCTGCAATGTCTGTGGAATATCACTTGAATTACCAATGTAATAAAGGAAATTTCCCTAGATTTCTTAAAGTTGAATTAAGGTACAGGTGTATATATATATTGTTATGGCAGTGGAAGTCACGTGACACTGGTAACACGTCATGAGTTTCTAGAAGGATCATGACTTTTCCTGGCAACTCTAGTTTTTTCCAGGCGCCCTCTATTTTAGTATATAAACCCGGCAAATAAAGCGAGATGGGATGGCATAGATAGAGAAATTGCAGATAGACAGATATAGAGATAGATAATTGAGTCAAGCGAGTAGTAGGCACCATAAGTAAAGTGTGTGTATCGTTGTGAATTATAGCGTGTGTTTATA